TTTTGTGAAGGCAGAATTCTTCACAAACTGGACTTTGTGAAGGCAGAATTCTTCACAAACTTGACTTTGTGAAGGCAGAATTCTTTACACACTTGACTTTGTGAAGGCAGAATTCTTCACAAACTTGACTTTGTGAAGGCAGAATTCTTCACAAACTTGACTTTGTGAAGGCAGAATCCTTCACAAACTGGACTTTGTGAAGGCAGAATTCTTCACAAACTTGACTTTGTGAAGGCAGAATTCTTAACAAACTTGACTTTGTGAAGGCAGAATCCTTCACAAACTTGACTTTGTGAAGGCAGAATTCTTCACAAACTTGACTTTGTGAAGGCAGAATTCTTCACAAACTTGACTTTGTGAAGGCAGAATTCTTCACAAACCTGACTTTGTGAAGGCAGAATCCTTCACAAACTGGACTTTGTGAAGGCAGAATTCCTTCACAAACTTGACTTTGTGAAGAATTTTGCCTTCACAAACTTGACTTTGTGAAGGCAGAATCCTTCACAAACTTGACTTTGTGAAGGCAGAATCCTTCACAAACTTGACTTTGTGAAGGCAGAATTCTTCACAAACCAGAATCCTTCACAAACTTGACTTTGTGAAGGCAGAATTCTTCACAAACTGGACTTTGTGAAGGCAGAATTCTTCACAAACTGGACTTTGTGAAGGCAGATCCTTCACAAACTTGACTTTGTGAAGGCAGATCCTTCACAAACTTGACTTTGTGAAGGCAGAATCTTCACAAACTGGACTTTGTGAAGGCAGAATCCTTCACAAACTGGACTTTGTGAAGGCAGAATCCTTCACAAACTTGACTTTGTGAAGGCAGAATCCTTCACAAAAACTGGACTTTGTGAAAGGCAGAATCCTTCACAAACTGACTTTGTGAAGGCAGAATCCTTCACAAACTTGACTTTGTGAAGGCAGAATTCTTCACAAACTTGACTTTGTGAAGAAATTGCCTTCACAAACTTGACTTTGTGAAGGCGAATTCTTCACAAACTTGACTTTGTGAAGGCAGAATTCTTCACAAACTTGACTTTGTGAAGGCAGAATCCTTCACAAACTTGACTTTGTGAAGGCAGAATTCTTCACAAACTTGACTTTGTGAAGAGATTTTGCCTTCACAAACTTGACTTTGTGAAGGCAGAATTCTTCACAAACTGGACTTTGTGAAGGCAGAATTCTTCACAAACTGGACTTTGTGAAGGCAGAATCCTTCACAAACTTGACTTTGTGAAGGCAGTATTCTTTACAAACTTGACTTTGTGAAGGCAGAATTCTTCACAAACTTGACTTTGTGAAGGCAGAATTCTTCACAAACTTGACTTTGTGAAGGCAGAATCCTTCACAAACTAGACTTTGTGAAGGCAGAATTCTTCACAAACTTGACTTTGTGAAGGCAAAACCCTTCACAAACTTGACTTTGTGAAGGCAGAATTCTTCACAAACTGGACACTTGACTTTGTGAAGGCAGAATCCTTCACAAACTTGACTTTGTGAAGGCAGAATGCTTCACAAACTAGACTTTGTGAAGGCAGAATTCTTCACAAACTTGACTTTGTGAAGGCAGAATCCTTCACAAACTGGACTTTGTGAAGAATTTTGCCTTCACAAACTTGTCTTTGTGAAGGCAGAATCCTTCACAAACTGGACTTTGTGAAGGCAGAATTCTTCACAAACTTGACTTTGTGAAGGCAGAATCCTTCACAAACTTGACTTTGTGAAGGCAGGATCCTTCACAAACTGGACTTTGTGAAGGCAGAATTCTTCACAAACTTGACTTTGTGAAGACAGAATCCTTCACAAACTTGACTTTGTGAAGGCAAAATCCTTCACAAACTTGACTTGTGAAGGCAGAATCCTTCACAAACTTGACTTTGTGAAGGCAGAATCCTTCACAAACTTGACTTTGTGAAGCCAGAATCCTTCACAAACTGGACTTTGTGAAGGCAGGATCCTTCACAAACTTGACTTTGTGAAGGCAGGATCCTTCACAAACTTGACTTTGTGAAGGCAGAATTCTTCACAAACTGGACTTTGTGAAGGCAGAATCCTTCACAAACTGGACTTTGTGAAGGCAGAATCCTTCACAAACTTGACTTTGTGAAGGCAGAATCCTTCACAAACTGGACTTTGTGAAGGCAGAATCCTTCACAAACTTGACTTTGTGAAGGCAGAATCCTTCACAAACTAGACTTTGTGAAGGCAGAATCCTTCACAAACTGGACTTTGTGAAGGCAGAAATCTTCACAAACTTGACTTTGTGAAGAATTTTGCCTTCACAAACTTGACTTTGTGAAGGCAGAATCCTTCACAAACTGGACTTTGTGAAGGCAGAATCCTTCACAAACTTGACTTTGTGAAGGCAGAATCCTTCACAAACTTGACTTTGTGAAGGCAGAATCCTTCACAAACTTGACTTTGTGAAGCAGAATCCTTCACAAACTTGACTTTGTGAAGGCAGAATCCTTCACAAACTGGACTTTGTGAAGGCAGAATCCTTCACAAACTTGACTTTGTGAAGGCAGAATCACAAACTTGACTTGTGAAGGCAGAATTCTTCACAAACTTGACTTTGTGAAGGCAGAATTCTTCACAAACTGGACTTTGTGAAGGCAGAATTCTTCACAAACTTGACTTTGTGAAGGCAGAATCCTTCACAAACTGACTTTGTGAAGGCAGAATTCTTCACAAACTTGACTTTGTGAAGGCAGAATTCTTCACAAACTTGACTTTGTGAAGGCAGAATCCTTCACAAACTTGACTTTGTGAAGGCAGAATCTTCACAACTGGACTTTGTGAAGGCAGAATGCTTCACAAACTGGACTTTGTCCTTCACAAACTTGACTTTGTGAAGGCAGAATCCTTTACAAACTTGACTTTGTGAAGGCAGAATTCTTCACAAACTTGACTTTGTGAAGGCAGAATTCTTCACAAACTTGACTTTGTGAAGGCAGAATCCTTCACAAACTGGACTTTGTGAAGGCAGAATCCTTCACAAACTTGACTTTGTGAAGAATTTTCCCTTCACAAACTTGACTTTGTGAAGGCAGAATTCTTCACAAACTTGAGTTTGTGAAGGGTAGCCTGGAAAAAGGCGAGAAAAACAGAACCCTTCAGACACTTGAGTTTTTGAAGCCAGACTTATTCACAAAATCCCTTTTATGACAGACTTTTTCATGACAGAGGATCAGTCTGATGCAGCTCTGCATGCCATGCAGAGATGCTTGCAGCTTTATGTTTGGCTGCAAGCTCATGTCGCACAGGACTGCTTGTTCCAGCTGGTACCCAAATTTCATTGGGCATACCATCTAGCTCAGATGTGCAAATACCAGAATCCCAAGACTTTCTGGACATACAGGCAAGAATCTTGGGTAGGCAGCATGGCAACAGTGGCTCATTCTTGCAGCCATGGAACCAAGAACACAAAGCTGTCAGAGAGCTTTTGTGAAAAGTATTTGCTAGGCCTGCAGCTCAGGCTCAACCAAAGCTAATGCCATGACCTTGGGCCAGCCAGGTGCTTGAAACAAAGCCAGGCAAGATATGTCAAAGGCCCCAGCACAAGGCCAAAGGCAAGCTGGAGGCCTGCAAAAAGGCCATGCTTTGATATATGTTTTGTTTCCTCTGTGTCACCAGCGCTTGCATTATGAGGAAAAAGATGTGCATATGCTTTCCTGCAGCAGCAACTATAATTATTAAATTTCTGGATTGAAAATTTTCAATAATTATTGAATTTTTTGCCAGATCTTTTTCAATAATTATTGAAAATATTTTTCAATCCAGATTGAAACTGATATTGATTTTTTTCAATAATTTTTGATTTTCAATCCGGATTGAAAAAAGTTCAATAATTATTGAAAAGATCAATCGGATTGAAAAAATTCAATCCCTGGACCCTCAGGGAAGAAAAGCATATAACATCAGCTTGAAAATCAATAGGGAAAACCAATGGAAAACACATGAAAATCAATATGTGCACCAAATCAGATTAATACAAAAAGATCAGTTTGCAATTGATTTTTTCAATAGGAACCATGAAAATCAATATCAATAAGAAATTGTCTGATCTTATTGATTACAATCAATATCCGATGCTCAGGGAACATCGCGATCACCGCAGGTGATCCGCGGAAGGATGGGCTATGCTGGCACTTCCGGGACCGCGGTAGCTGCAGTAAGGGTTCAGTCAGGTTGCCCTTACTCTCATGACAAGGAGCTGAGAAAGCGTGAACTTGAGCGTCTCAAGCAGCAAGGAAAAGGAGGCCAGGGCGGCGGTGCTCAACCATCCTCGTCCGCACCCCCCGCAAAAGGAGGTGGTAAAGGCGGAAAGGGGACGAAGCCTAAGGCTAAGGCCGAGCCTAAGAAGCAAAGTGAGGCAGCCATGAATAATCCATTTGCTGCTTTCTCCGTTGTCGTGGCTCAACCTGGCCAGTCCGAGATCGAGGACGGCGTGGAAGGTGGTGCAGAATGAAAAGGGTGGATATCAATACAAGACGATCACGAAGATCTTGGGAGTTGGAGTCGAGACCATGCTAGATGGTTGTGCAGGTTCCAATCATGTTACTGAGGAGCTGGTTGTTTCGATTCTCAATCGAGCGGCATCGCTGGGACTGACCCCCAGAAGACCCGAAGTTCCCTGTGGTCCAGTTTGAAAAGTGGGTCTACCAGGAGTTCGTCCACGGGATAGCCAGTGGGTCCCCGGTTCCTCTGAAGGGAGCCGTCGTCCTCAGGCTAAGGCTCCAAGAAGGAGTTGATCCGAATCGATGTCGGGATGGGCCGGAGATATTCCTCCGCTGCAAGATAGCTGCCAGAGGAACGAGTGACTGGCATGGCCTGATCATCGGCGGGCGAGCTCTCGATTGCGAGGCTCGTCGCGGGTTGGGTTTTCGTCCAGGCCCATCGGCTCACATCTTGGATGCATTGGGGCTCCTAATGCCTCGTTGCGAGGATCTGAGCGCTGAGCGGAAGGACAGAGCCTACGCCTTCGAATCCACGTTATCGGCAGTGGACGGGGGGACTAGTAGGGGCTTTCGAACCTGAGGTCTGTTCGAACCGAACCGTATACTCTACTACGATGGAGAGGAACCTGTGACGTTGGAACCAGGAGAAGGTGCTCTCATCCCAGTGGAGTCTGGGTTTCGCATCGCGGAAGTTTCCGTTGTAGAAGCTGCGTTACCCATAGAAGGCTCAGTGGAGGCCGTCCCAGGTGTATGGCCTACGGGAGCGTCTCAAGGCATGCTTCTAGTTGCAGCTCGGGACGAGCCTGTGGCGCTGGAAAAAGGAACTCCAGTTGGAGAGCTGAGGTCTGGTTTCGTGAGTTCGGGAACTTGCGAGTGTGGCACTGTGGAAACCATCCTAGAAGGTGATGCGGAAGACCGCTGCGGAGAATGCGGAGCCGTGAATAGCTCTCTGGCAGAACAATTCTGCCAAACATGCGGAAGAACGGGGGCTATGAGGCAACTGCGCTCCAAGGTTGTCGTTCCTGCAGTGGAAGTCGGAGGCGGAGCATATGGCGCTCTGCCGCGCTCGCCTTCGTGGTCGGCCTCGGGGCCTTGGCGGGAAGTAGCTCCATGATGGCATACCAGGATGGCCAATGTGAACTGGATCAGTGGTCGTACGTTTCCAGGTGGAGTTGTCCGCGCTCACTACGAGTCGCCGGACAGTCTCTATATTCCGGAAACGTCAGATTGTCCATGGTCCTTAGATGGCTTGTCGGATCGTCGGGTCACGTGCGCGAAATGCACGGATGGCCAGTTGATGACAGTTGAGGACGACTGGCGTCACGATTCGTCCGGGCAGCTCTCCGGCAAAACATGGACAGGAGAGACCAGGTTTTTCTGGCGTTCGAGCGGAGGCGTCCATAGTTTTCGTGATTGGAGGAGTACCTGCACGGAGGCGGTGTACCACATTGTGGAGGTCCCAGGAGGAATCGAGCGTATGGCGGAGGAGACGCCTACAGATGGGTATTATGAGGCTCTTCGGAATGATCTAGGCAAGAGGTACCCTTCCGCGGACAGATTCCTCTTGGATCATTTGGTGTCGCTCGAGGGGTTCTTAGACAAATCGATCATCTTCGGGTTCAGCTATGGCGTCGGGAAGGCTGAGCTGTGCCGTACTGGAGGGAAACTCTTGGGACATATCATCGGAAGGTCAGGATCTTCCCCTGATCCGGAACGCGCTCAAGTGGTCCGTGACTTTGCGCCACTCAAGGAGAAGTTGCATATCCAACAATTCCTTGGTTCTGCAAATTGGTTGAGAACGTACTTGCCCTCAGAGTTTGGACATTGTGCGAAGGTGCTCTCAGCTTACCAAAAGCCAGGCGCGGCCTTCCCTCCAGAAGGGTTAGGCGCGGGCAATTCAGACGGGTGTAAAGCCGTCAGAGCAATCAAAAAGATGCTGGAATCGGCTATCTGTCTCTCAGTCTTTGACGAAGCGTCGGCAATCACAGGTGAGTGCCCTTTGGAGCAAGTTGCCGACGCGAGCGGATATGCTGTTGGTGGCACTGTGCTCCAGATGAGCCGGGATCTGACTCAGATGAAAGTTTGGCAGCCGACTCCAAGGGCTTCATCACGCGAAGAGCGTCATGATCTGGTGCCACCCTGGAGACAAGGTCGATATGTTGGTTGGAAGTTGTAACTTCACCACGAGCTCGAAGGCCAACAAGGAAGCCAGCACTATAGGGATCAGCGTAAACTCTGGAACAGAGCTGGTCCGTCGCTGGGAGTCAGCCTTCGAAGAAGCGTTCGAAAATGGTTCGAAGATCGACCAGTTCGAGACAGAGCAAGGCTCCGACCGACGCAGGGTCGGCACAGCCAGTTCAGCTGCTGAAGTCCAATGAGGGGAAGATTGAAATCTGGTGCAATATGGCATCGCATTTTCAGTCTGCCTCGCGGTGGTGTCTGCGTATCGCGACACTACGTGGTGGACCGCACTTGAATAGCTGGCTTTGCACGTGGCTGAACCCAGCTGAGGGGCGAGTGTAGCTAGACGTAGCTAAGCCGTGCAGTAGGTCCACCGTAGCTGTCTTTTGTGTTTCACTTGTTGCGTTGTACAGTGTACAGTGTATGCCTTTTGGCTCAAGTGGCTCGCTGCTTGCAGGGTCGTCTCGACCGCCGCCCGCGACTTGCGCGCGTGGGTGAAAACAGCTGAGCGGCCGGGGTCCGTCTCGCCCACAATACATACTTACAGTGACTTACATACATACGAACATACATACATACATACCATACATACCATACATACCATACATACCATACATACCATACATACCATACATACCATACATACCATACATACATACATACATACATACATACATACATACATACATACATACTTTTCCCCCTTGGTAGCACATTTTTTCTCCTTGAATGCACGTTTTCTGGCTTTTCGTGCGTTCAAGGGGAAAATATGTGCAACCAAGGGGGAAAACCTCGCTTCATACATGTATACGTACATAGATACATACATACATACCTACCTGCATACCTACATACCTACATACCTACATACCTGCATTCCAAACATGTCCCTTCTGGGGGTCTGAAACTGGTCTGAAACTGGTCTGAAACCCCATCTGAGCCTTCAACTGTGACCAAAGGGGGAAGGGAGAGCCAATCATACAGGAGCTTTTCCCACAAAAACGTACATACATTCATACATACTTACATACTTAAAGGCTGTAAAGCGGTCCACTGGTGTAGAGACAGAAAAGGGCCACTGTGGGGGAAACTGCCGGGTGACAGGTGCGTTTTTGAGGAACATCGACTATCAACGTCCTACTCCAAGTGATTCTGGAGACACTAGAAAAATAAGAAGCCCCCCCCAATTTTGGTTTCCCTTATTGAATTCAGGCACCCAAATTCACAAATAGATCCAAGACATTTAAAGATTTGATAAGGAATTGTGGATATTCAATGATATTTGAGCGTTTATCTACTACTTGGTCCCGGCGCATCGAAAATTAAGTGCTCGTTTACAGAACTTGCATACTAAGATGGTAGCCAATAATTTACTCAGACATTTGCGTGGTTTAATTCAATACAAACCTACAGGCACTATTTGATCCCGGGTATATATAATATGTATGGCCTTGATTCGCCTCGTGTGGGTTCCTGCTCTAGATCGATTCGTGGCGATTCGATTCAAACAAATCCCCGATTCATGTTTGATTCGATTCTTGCTGCGTGGTGTTCCTGGGGCCGCCCATGGGTCTATCTGGTTCGATTCCAAACGGTTCTTTATTTTCCGGTTCCGAACCGGTTCGATTCCTGATGTGCAGCGGTTTGGGGTCCTGAACCGTTTTGGAACCATCCTGCGAAGATGATGAAGATGGCGCAGAAGGATTCCTGGATGCTTTAGAAGACGTCTTCTGGGTATATGATGACGCTGAATTCACATGGTATCAGAGAAGGTTCCAAGGCAGACAGACCAGACGAGGCAAAGGTAAGGCCAGAAGAAAGGGAAAGGCAGAGGAGGAAGAAGATTCTTCAGATCAAGGAAAGGAAAAGGCCGAGGAAAAGGAAGAAGAAAAGGCCGCTCTCACATGGTGAGTGAAGAAGGATATGAAGAAGAATGGAATGAAGGAGATGAATGGAATGATTCCTATGACGGCTTTTGGGCCGATGATCAGAACTGGGATGAAGGCTATTGGGCTTATGAAGATCTGTACTACTTAGATGAGTATGGATATTTCCAGAGAAAAGGAAAAGGAAAAGGAAGGAAAGGCAAGAAAGGCGGCAAAGGAGGAAAACCAGGAGATGGAAAGGGAAAAGCCAACTATGTTCAACCTCACACCTCATCGACTCCTGCCATACAGAAACAACAACCACAACAACAACAACAACAACACCAACAACGACAACACCAACAACAACACCAACAACAAACCAACAACAAACACACAACAACAAACAATAACAAACACAACAAACAACAACAAACCAACAACAAACAAACAAACAAACAAAGTTTGTAGCTCACAGAGCAAGACTCTGAAAAGGTATGACCTTTGGAACCCAAAATGTTGTAAATATTGATGCGGGAAAACTATGAGTTATGAAGTTTAAAGGCAATAAAATTATGATTTCGAAAAATTGAAAGATATAATATATAGTTTGCATGTAATCAAGTCAACAGATGTCAACAGTCTCAAAATGCAGGACATTTGAAACCCCAAGTTTATGAACTTCAAATCCCAAGGAGGTTTTGAATTTAGAACCCACCAAGTTATGAACCATACAACGCAAAAATATATAGAGTTAAGGCCGAAAAACTATGCAAAAGTAGTGGTGCTGTCAAGTGTGCTATGGAGGGAGGTAGGGTCAACTTCACAAGGTGAGTGTAAGGTGCAAAGTCTAAGACTGGCAAAATTTCAAAAGACTATGAATTTGAAAGTGCAAAACTATGAACCTGAAACCCAATAATGTATTAACCTCATGAGGGCAGGGAAAACTGCAGTAAGAAACTTTATGTGTGAACTTGGACCAGGCCAACATACCCAAGCGGTGAACAAATAAAAATTTCAGTTGGACCAGGCAAACATACCTAAACGGTTCACCAAATAACCTTACTGAAACAAATTGGTCATGTGTTTTTGTTCAATATGAATATTTGATGGTGGCGCTTTAACATTTTTCAGTGAGTTGTATGCCCGAAGAGTTGGGGGAGGTTTGCATTAATCATAGTCTTTGGGGTGAGACTCTAAAGGTCAAAAACTATGACCACAGGGGCCGAAAATCTATGAGTTCCAAGCCGAAGATCCAACGAACCTATGAAGTTTAAAAGATCTTGAAGTCCACCTCATTGGGCCAAGAAAGGACAATTCAAATATTTGCAGCGGCGTTTTACATTTTTGTTAGGGCGAAGGCTGGATTATGCAATTTGTAATCATATTCTGGGCCCAGACTCTAAAGCTCAACAACCTGTGAGCTTAGGGCCGAAATTATGAACCTTAAGGTTCACGAATATGAGGCCCCAAGTTCGAAATCCAATGGATTTATGAACTTTAAAACATCTGGAGGTCCGAAAAACTCCGAAGATATGAGTTCAGAATCTCAATTTTGAGAAATTTGAGGTCCAGAAAGTTGTGAAACTTATAGCGACTTTTCATCCGAATTCCGCCCGCACCGAAGGTGCAAAGGGTGTGATCATCCGGGCGGCATAGTCAACTAAGGTCAGGTTTACCTGGGGTGGGCCCTTTATTTGGTAAAAACCCTCAGTTTCTGACAGGTGCTGACGACAGACTTTATAAAACACCGTAAAAAAAGGGTATGGAATGGACCTCCAGGTGTGTAAGCCTGCCCGGAATCGGCGAAGAAAAAGTGAAAAAAAAAGATTGGAATGCAATTTTTGGTTTTGAAATGTGGAGGCGACTGGGAAGCGATTTTTGTTGTTTTAATGTTTTTTTGGCGCCGTTTTTGGCGATTTCTATATGAAGAAAATACTGTTTTTTACGCTGTTTTGGTAAGTTGCGCAGGCTTGGCGGTTTTGCGCAAAAATGCAAAATGCATCGTAAATAATGGTGTTCTGGGAGACCCTGTTAGTTGCAGAAAACGTTGCAAATAACGGTGTTTTTTGAAGCTTCCTCCAAAAACACCGTAAATAGCGGTGTTTTGGCGTGCTTGCAGCCCACGAACATCGCTATTTACAGCGTGTTCTGCCTTCCAGAGCGTAAAAACACTGTAAATAGCAGCGTTTTCGTTGGTTTTTGGCGGGTTGGAATTCCAACTGCGTGGTATTTACAATATTCCTTATGCAGGGGAAGCAAAAAGGTTTGCACAGTGTGCAAAAAGCTACGTGACATGAATAGATCCATTATGACAATCATCATATTATGGTGTTCATAGATTCTTGAGCTGGGGGTTCATTCATACATTTGCACCTTCAAGTTCATGGTTTTTGGAGCTTTACATTGCTGCCGAAATCCAGACGTGTCAAGTTAATCAAGATATCTAAGTTGACGCTTCCAGGTGTCCCGATTTTATTTTGTACAATCCATGGGCAACTGATTCAGAATCGAACGTTCTTGTCATGTTACGACTGAACCCATGCCGTGCTGGCCGTGGCGCAGGTGGACGCATCCGGGAATGTCTTCGTGGCCGGCGAGACACAGAATTCCTTGGACGGCAACACCAATGCCGGCAGCTGGGACATCACGGTGATGAAGTTCCAGGCTCATTTCTCAGAGTGCAACCTTTTTCTGGCAAGTTTGAAAAGAGGAGCAACAGCATTTCCCCAATTTCCCCATGTCTCTTGACTAGGTTTGGTCATTGTTGGGTAAGTCAGGTTGGGTCCATAGGCGTTTGAACTTATCGGCAGACACAATTTCGCAAGTGAGCAAAAACTGTGATTTTGAGAAAGAGTTGAAACATTAAACAAGTATTTGGAAATGGGTAAGTGGGCATGGAGATGTGTGGAGTAACTTGCTTGAAACAAAATCACACAACACAACTGAAAAAAAACATTGGTTTTTTGACTGTCACCCCCCGGTCCCACGACCGCAAAGGTGCCCACCACCACCGTGACCACGACATCAAGGACGATGCGGGGACCTACCGAATACACGCGCACACAAATAAACAACTGTGTTACGTTCTGTCTGTGGTCTTGTTTTCATGCGTTGCAGAGACAAACCTTACGCGATAGCTGGGAATGGTGTGAGGGAAGTGGGAAAAAACTCAACATCATCCACACCGCTTGTCGGTGGACGTGATGAGTAGGGAATTAGATGGTCACCTTCTTGTCAAGCGTTTACATTTAATTTAAAGGTAACACTAGTAGGATGGGCCTAGTGCCTTCAAGAAAGGCCAGCGCAATTAACACACGTCCAAAAATCGC